TCGCATTCACTCTATATAAAAGACGAAGGTACTTGGGATGTGGCAGTTGACAATAGCAACCACTCGCTAGTCAAGCTGTCAGAGGTCCCGTCTTTCGAAGGTATTAGCAAGCTAATGGCGGGTTCGGCTCCATTACATGTGTCAATAGCAGCTTACCACGAAACATCTACCAATTAAGCTGGACCTTTGATTTAGAGTACCATAAAAGCTCTACTTCCCAGTGCGCCGTGCCGGCCAGCAAAAACGCATCAGTTAGTCAACAAAAATCAAATTACCTCAGGAATGCAGTGTCATTTTTCTCTATCACTACATCTCTAATCCGGTTGTTGTTTACGGTTGATAATCCGATTCGTTTATTAATTTCATTTTTCCGGTGCATAATTTACAAGTATCTCCTGTGATTTTGATGCAATAATGTTTGTAACACTAGGTTTTTTTTTGTGATCGATTCATATTGTCCGGTGTCGTTACAGTATTTTCCAAAAAACCAGCATTAGATTAGGCATGTTTACAATGTGATTACGTGTATGTGCATATTTTTTAACCATTAGAAATTTATGTATAAAAAGAAAACTCTGGATACAGTTTTTTGAAAATATGTCATCGTGTTTTAGAAGGAAATTCATAGGTATGGAATATTTTCATTACTAACTGTGCCACTTTGGTTTACCGCAATTCATAACATACTTTCTTAACTACGCAGCTGCCAGTCTGTTCAGTTGTTTTGATCAATGCTGCATCGCCTGATGGTCAGCCTGTTGGCATTTCAGACGTGCTGGCAGTTTCCGTAATTGGACCTTCCTCCAGCATTTCATTATTTAGAAAACCCGAATTTTTGGAGGCATCCGTGTGGTAACACACTGCCAGAAAAAATCACCTGTTTGTAGGACTGTCGATGTTTCCTTTTTCCTGGAGTTTCCCATTTTCCTGGATGTTTTCCCTTTTTATGCGTTTTTGCATATATGTAAATTGCAAAAACGCATATTGGGAAGAGGCTGTGTGTTTGTGTGTGTGTATGTGTGTGTTTGTGTGTCTGTGTGTTCGCACTTTTTATCACCCACTTTCAACTCGAGACCCAGAAAAGCTAGAAGG